ATCTTACTTTACATACTTGATTTTCATACCTTACTAGCTGGCCCGGTCCGCGTTGCCGACCCGTACTTTTAGTCTTTAAAGCACAATAAATCAAAGATCTGACTTATGTAGGCGGCACAATTTTGATTATAAGTAATGACTCCATTAAAATTAATCCAATTTTGATTATAAGTAATGACTTGATTATGAGTAATGACTCCATGACTAAATATAAATTAATATTCATGGCAAAAATTATAATTACCGTCGGTTTTAGATATTTTGAATAGCCTGATCTTATTTTTCAGCTATAGGCTTTAATTTGAGTGTTAAATACCTATATGATAAAGAACATCTATAATAGCCCCATGTAAAAATTCAGCTCAATTTTTGATATTGTAAAAACCATTCCAATGAGCTATAATTTGAAATTTGTATTTCCAACGTTTAAAATCCCGTACTGCGTGATATTCAGTTTTGTCCTCCTCATATTTGAAGGCAGAATGTTGTCCGATTACCGTAAAATGGGCATTAATTGTTTGTCATTTAAATTATGCGGTGGAGATCCAATAAAGTTACTTTATAATTTCGTATTTTGTTATGTTTCTGCCACAATTTCCGACTGAATGAGTCCCAGATTGACATTTCGGAGTTTATTTCATATAGACGTACATACCAAATCTACGTTCGCAACCAATATTCTCTTGGGGGTTACAAATTCAATAGAATACCAAATTTTCTTTTCTGTCCACACATTGGTTGGGGAAGTGGACAAATTCAATAGAATACCAAATTTTCTTTTCTGACCACATATTGGTTGGGAAAGTGGACTTGGGGGTATACTAATGTGGGGACTATACTTAAATAAATTCCTATGAGGATAATTATCTCTAAGATGATTTAAATTATGCGGTGGAGATCCAATAAAGTTACTTTATAATTTCGTATTTTGTTATGTTTCTGCCACAATTTCCGACTGAATGAGTCCCAGATTGACATTTCGGAGTTTATTTCATATAGACGTACGTACCAAATCTACGTTCCCAACCAATATTCTCTTGGGGGTTACAAATTCAATAGAATATAAAATTTTCTTTTATGTCTACACATTGGTTGGGAAAGTGGACAAATTCAATAGAATACCAAATTTTCTTTTCTGACCACACATTGGTTGGGAAAGTGGACTTGGGGGTATACTAATGTGGGGACTATACTTAAATAAATTCCTATGAGGATAATTATCTCTAAGATGATTTTCTACCTCAGGCTTTTTTTAACCCAGGTAGCCTCAAGATTAAGATGCGCACTTTTCCGAAACATAAAAATTTTATAAGAAGAGGTTTTCTTCCCCCTTAGAAACAAAGATGTCAAATAAGAGCCAAAAAATGAAAAAAGTGGCCAAGACCCCGAAAATACCTTAAATCATATGATGGTTATACCAAAACGTGATAATTTTTTGCAAAGATGGTTTCATCTTAAATTATCAACATAAGCTAAAATTAGTACGAAAAATATGGTTAAAATGTAGAATATACTTGAAATCGGGTTGTTCCGTTATCAGGGGTTATGACCCATATCATGACCTGCCAATGCGATTAAAGGTATCTTGAATGTTTAGGTAGAATTTCTATTTTGCGTTCTTTATAGTCGGTATTTGACTGATTGCAGTCCCAATGTATTTTGCATTTTGTGTTCTCATTTGACAATTTATTGCCATATGAAAGAAGCAAGTCCACTTTTTGAAATTAACCCCATAGCGCTTCTTCGGTCATTTTTATACCCTACACCACAAGGTGGTCAGGGTATTATGTATTTGTGCATTTGTTTGTAACAGGCAGAAGGAAACGAGATAGACCCATAGTTCCTTTTGATGATCTGCATAGAATCACATTCTGAGTCGATTTATGCATGTCCGTCCGTCCGTCCGTCTGTCCGTCTGTCCATGTATTTTTGTAAACAAAGTACAGGTCGCATTTATTGCCCGATCCAGATGAAATTTTGCACAGATCATTTGTTTGGCCCAAGGACAAATCCTATTGAAATTGGAGATAATCGGTCAAAATTTAGTGTAATATCAGCCCGAATTGTATGGAATTTTGCATATACACCCAAATTAGGTCTGAAAATATGTATGCCAAATTTGATCGAAATCGGTTCAGATATAGCTATAGCTCCCATATATATTATTCATCCGATTTGTTATTTTTGTCCACCGCCGCCGTAATATGCACTCTGCAACAACAATATTTGGGGAAATATATCAAATGCAGCTCAGAAATACATTTGCTAAATTTTATCGAGATCGGTTCAGATTTGGATATAGCTCCCATATATAACTTCGTCCGATTTTCTTTTTATTGTGCATCAAACGTCTAATATTTGTCCAAATGGGATGGAATTTGGCACTTACGACCGAATTGAGTCTAGAAGCTAGTATGTCAAATTTGGTGAAGATCGGTTAAGATATAGATATAGCTCCCATATATACTCTTCATCCGATTTGTCATATTTGTTACCCACGGCCGTAATATGCACTCCGTAACAACGATATTCAAGGAAATATACAAAATACAGCTCAGAAATATCTTTGCCAAATTTTATCGAGATCGGTTCAGATTTGGATATAGCTCCCATATATATCTTTATCCGATTTCAAATGAATTGTGCACCAAATGGGTAATACAATTCCGAATTTAAAAGATACAAATGCTTCGGCATATTTAGTCCTTTGAACTTTAAGTTATAATTATAATCATAACGTGTATGATTGAATTCTCCCATAAGAACTTTTATTGTTATGTGGAGCTCTACTAAATTAGCAAAGTGGTGTAGGGTATCATAAAGTCGGCCCCGCCCGACTTTATTACTTTCTTTACTGGTTGTTTGTTTAAATGTGTTCGCATCTTCCAGCTGAAGCACGATGTAGGTCCTGGAGTAGAAAGCACTATGTACTATTATTTTGAAATTCGATTCCATTGAAAAATTGTCGATTTTTCCCGATTTTCGAATTTTCATATAAAGCGACAACGGATTTTATAGATTTTATGTATTTATGGGGTATTACGAATAAATACATAAAATCTATAAATAACAGTTTTATCCGTTGTGGCTTTATACTATACAAAAAAATCATATAAGAATTCAAAAAAAAAAAAAAAAACACTACAAATGTATATTCGAAAATAGTAAGTCAAAATGGAAAAAAAATATGCAATATAAAACCTTACTATTGTACAAAATGAAAGTGTTTAAATTTCACATTTTAACGCGATTTTTTGGATTTTAGGTTAAAAAAAACGTCACTACTTTCTTATGTGGCTCAGCAATGAAACTTATCTATATCGCTTGGAAATACTACAGGGAAACTAAGAAATTAGGTGAAGATTTATCTAATATATTTCTAGTAAAAAATTATATTGTTCATAGTTTTTATTTACTTTATGTTCATCTCTCAATGTAATATCGACTTTAATTATACCTCCAGCCATATGGTTAGAGAGGGTATATATCACTTGATACGGCCAAAAAGTGCATGATAACTCTCGAAGACAGTATCCGATTTGGTCCAAACTTGGTATATAGTAATAATATTATCAAACTTTGATCGAGTTCGGAGATGATACCTTGCTTACAAAAAGTCGAAATTTGCAAATAAAATATTTTCCAGCACATAAAAAGAAAGGATAATCCGATTTTGCTCCAACTTTGCAAATCTTAATATTTCCATCGGTGCTACGTCAGGTGTAAAAATTAACAATATCGATCCACTCCATCAAGTATATTCCTCAAAAAGGGTAGATTATTGAGTAATTTAAAATTTATATATAATGTGATGACAATCGAACTCTTACGAATGTCGTTAAATTACACACATTACAATATTTTTATTAACCCAAGGTCTGGTGTGAAGATGGTACCTCCACCACGAAGGGCCAAAATTTTGAATATCCATGAAGCTAATAAAACGCGAAATTAACATCCGATTCCATTTAGACTTGGTGCATCTCAATATTTCCATCAGCACAAGATCTGTTATAAAGATGGATCGGAGAGATCGGACCATTTCTTCTGCTACCTCCCCACAAAGGGTTCAAAATTTTGAAAAACAAAACGCTCAATGAAAGAGAAATAAGCATCCAACTCTCTTCAAATTTCAAACATCGAACAATTTTTGCTGACGCAAAATCTTTTGTGAAGTTGATATATATATCTGCCAACCCCTTTTGCTACCTCAGTCAGAAAGCGTCACATTTGCGAAACAAGTCGGGGATTCTATACAACTTTTATTTTTCTTAACCAGAAATCTGATGTGAATATGTAATTTATCGGAATTTATGATTTCGTATAAATTTGAATATAAATGTTGGATTTCCGTAAAATTTTGCACATACCTATGTTTTAATCTGTATTAGTGTATCTGGATGATGTGGAAAATTTCTGTCCACTATATCTAGTACATCACGCATATTTCCACCTTTTCCAAAAACATTGCTGATATCTCATATGAAGTAAAGGAAGTAGACGGTATAGTCCAAATATGCACGTCAATCGTCGATCTTAGAAAATGTAAAATTCTTCACAATATTAAATATGGCTGCGGAACAATACGTTGTTCAAATAACCTCTCTATGTAGATTATTTCACATCAACATAACAGGGATATTAATACTTTGACGGAAAATCAAACAGGTATTTCCACTCCAAAGAAAATTTTCTTTACGATGTACTAAATTCCCTTTTTAAAACCATTTGGCTTTTTTGGAAAGTCTTATTTGTTTAGCAATTTAACGATGTAGAAAATATCAAATGGGAGACCATTGATTTTCTTTCAACTTTACTATACTCTCGATCTATTGGTATTTACACCGTGCAAAAATTCTTATTAAGTTTTTTCTTCAATCCGTTTTTTATATTTCCATTAATATTGATGCTATATTTTATTTCCAACTTATTCAAAAACACATTGAAACAATCAAATAAGTGCTAATTTAATGCTTCTTTTCTCATCCTTGTAACAATAGTACAGAGTTCGAATACTTCAAGAATGGAATGATTTCTGCCACCAGCGAAAAATACCCTGCTCGGAAAAGTTTTCACTAGCAAATACCCTGGGAAATCCGATGCAAATTAGAGCCTGGTCATTAGGCGGCTTACCTGCTGATAATTTTTCAGTGGAAAATGCCATCATTGTTGCTAATTCCAGTCGTTATTCCCTCCTAATTGATCCCCAAGGTAAGCTGATGTGCAGGTGCATTGGCATTGCCATCATTATCATCATTACGACCAATAGCTAATTTAATTATAAAATACCACAACAAATATTTATCCTCTCTAAATCTTCATTTCCATAGTGCAAGCCAACAAGTGGATTAAAAATATGGAGAAGAAGAATGATTTGAAAGTTATTAAACAGAGCGATGCCAATTATATGCAAGTGCTTGAATTGGCCATTACTTATGGTAATCCGGTGTTGCTGGAAAATGTTGGTAAGTTTTATTGAGTCATCTTGACGTTTAATGATGGTGAACTTTTACCGCCTCGTTTCCACTTTTAATGAACATTTTCCTTTAGCTGGTGTGCCTTATGCTATTAGCTTTTCATGAGATTTTAAAACTGCCGTTACTATGAGTGATGAGTGTTGAGCTATGGACATATACCGTATTTACTCTTGTTTGCTTATGTTTGGCAAACGTTATGGTTCTTCGATAGCAATGATTGTTATTTGGTATTTGTTAATCCCAAATGTATGTGTGTGTAAAAGCATTCAGATATGGCGATAAAACCAATATCACTCCCCTTCAATTACAAATGAAGCTAATGCATCATTTCATCCCACCATAGAAATAATAATAATAAAGAAACCTATTTCATGACCGCAATTTTGCCAATATGACCTGGAGTCAAAGTTAGAGTTGTCGATATGGATGTAAGATATGTGACAATGAAAGTTAGGAAAACATTGTAGAAATATTATAAAAAGTGTATGCTTCTGTAAGTTTATGTAAACAACTTTTACTCAAATCCGTTATTTAAAAATTATGCAGACACAAGCTGTATGCAAAAGAATCGACGCACAGTGGGGTGAGATGCCAAAAACGGAGATTAATTCAGGGAAGCGTTATATTGCTCTGAAATTTTGATCAGACATTCATATTACCTGTTATATGTTTGGCATTAAAAATGGGACATATCGGTCCACGTTTCGGTAAGGCTCCCATATAGCGCCACTTTCTGATTTTTTGGTATTTTGAAGGTTTCGGCCACAATTTCAAACCCAATCATGAGTATTTTGACATTTTGAGTTCTGAGCGGACAAAATCTCTCCCTGCTTAATTTTGTGAAGATAAATCCACTATTAAGTATTGGCCATATATAATGGCACCTCCAAATTGTAGGTATTTTGTGAATTTCTCCCTGCAAAATATATAATGGTGCTTCCCAATATTAGGTATTTTGAGGGTTTCAGACAGAGTAATTTACAAACTTATTTTTTGGTATTTTGTTTTCAAATGGATGGATGGAAAAATTACAAAATTGCCTTATAAATCCAACATTTGAGTAAAGCCAGAAAAAATAATTTATCCTTTGCAAAACCTTCTAAAATCTGAAGACAAAAAGACTACATATTTTTATGAGAAAGGAATAATTATAAAAATAAATAATTATATATATATATATATATATATATATATATATATATATATATATAAAATTGGCTGGCAATTAAGCCTTCCTAACTGAAATAGACTATAACCTTATAAATATATTTAGAAAAAAATATATGTGACTGACATTTAACAAATCATCCTTATCATCCATCAAATCTCTCTCATTGTCTTTAATTGGATCATCAGTTAAAATTGAGGTTGAGGCAGGTAACCTCACAACTGATTTTTTAAAGAGACTGGAATATTTTTGTATTTAGTTTAAAGTTCCAGTTAATAACAAGATAAAAACGCAAGAGAAACTTATTTAGAAAAGGCAACAAAAATAAAAAAAAAAACAAATAAAACAGAGAACTAGATCAAAGTACATTAACAGCAAAATCAGTTGACTATTTTCACTATTTTTTAAATTAAACAAAAACGGCACGAGTTGATTTGTTGATTATGGAAAAAATTCCATTCTAAAATACAAAATTAAAATTTTAAGACCTTCTCGATATTATTTTTTTAAAACTCCATAACTTTTCGGATATGGAAAAAATATAGTAATATTTTGAATTAATTTTTAAAATATTTTAATCATTATTTTTAACACTTTTTTTATTCTAAAACACTAATAACTTTCTGTATTCGAAGTTTTAATTTTAAAATGATAACTTTTGATGAGAAAAAACCTAATTAACCTAATTAATTAACCGAAGACAATTTTTTTCCTTCTCCTTGCGAAAAAGTGAAATATTTCTTAACTTTGCCACTGTGTAATTAGAAAACTAAACAACGTATGACGTATGAATTTTCGGTACTGAAGTAGAATTTAGTTTTCTAGAATAGTTTAAAAACATTTATTTCAAATGACGAATTTTATTTTTCAATTAATCTCCGTGTTTTGTGATTTCACCCCTCTGTGTGACGTATCGTATTTTGGTGATTTGTGCCACATTTTCAACGGATTTGTCTAAAAATTGGTATTTGTTGGTCATAATGGATTCTAGCTCCGGTGGCAAAACATTGTATTTATAGATCCACGTTTTGGTATAGCCCCCAAATAACGGTACCTTTCGATAGTCGGTGCCAATTTTTGCCACATTTTCCATGGATTTGCCAAAAATTTGTATTTGCAGTTAAATGGTAAACGATATCCACCGATACTCGGCATTTTGATAATCCTAGTTACATTTACCCACGAAATTATTTCAAATTTGTTATTCAAGAAGATTTGGTAGATGACAATAATTAAATTGACTATGGAGGTTCCCATTTTGGTATGGCCCCCACACAACCGCCTCACCCACTTTGTTTTTTTTTTTTTTTTTTTGAAAATTTACGGTCTTACTGCTATTTTTAGTTTAAAGTGGAACACGTGTGGATTCAGATACTTTTATATAAAAATGTTTTCTTTACCCAAAGGGGGAAGGCATTAAAATTTTGGTCCGGCCGAACCGTATCGATCTTCTCTTTATATGAGTTATGTAATAAATGAAAATGTTGAAATATGGGAGAGTAACAGATATATAGGACCAAAACATTCCAATGAATCTATTACTGATCAAAATATTTGGATGTGCAAAATTTGAAGAAAATTAGACAGGCATAACCCTTTTTAATGGGGAATCATCTTAATCATAATTTTAACTTTCTGTGGTTATTTACGAGAAGTAATGAGCCGATAAATTCCATATAAAAATCAGATGTCTGGTTGACATGCATATTAAGATATCCCAATTTTTAATAGAATCGCTGACCTGTTTCGCAAATTATAAAGGTTAAAATTGTGACCATTTGTTTCACACTAGATCTTGTGTTAGTAGAAATATTTGGATGTGTGAAATTTGAACAGAATCGGATGGTTATTTCGCATTTTATAATAGTTATAATTATTCAAAATGTTGACCCTTTGTGGGAAAGGTACATGATGGAGTGGGCCGATATTGTCCATTTTAACACCTGTCATAGCACGAATACAAATATTGAGATTTGCAACGTTTGCACAAAATTATATGATCCTATCTTGTTCAATACGCAAATTATTTTCTGGTGTGGTCAAGTTTGGATGAAATAAATATTCCCTTCGAGAGTTAATGTGCGCACCAGAGCCAGACAAAAAAATGAGCTCGGGGTAAAACCATTAAAATTCCAAAAAGTGCAAGAACTTACAACGTAACAGAAAGAAAATAGACTCAAAAGAGCTAAAGAGTTGCTTCGCTTGGCCGAAAGTGGTGTACTGCCGAATTTGGTTTTCTCCGATGATAAAACATTCGTTGTCCTGCAGTTTGTAAAGAAACAAAATGATCGTGTTCACTTGCTAAAGAGGTCAGCTGAAAATGTGCACCTTCGGTTGGCCACCAGATCTCAAGCGCCGGCCATGCTGATTGTGTGGGCCGCCATAACAGCCGATGGTCGCTCTCCGCTCGTATTAATCGACTAAGAATAAATGCTGAATATTTTCGCGAAAATATTCTGGAGGGTATATTAAAGCCTTGAGCACGCGAACATTTTGGCCACAGACCTTGGACATTCCAAAAGGACTTAGCACCATCGCACTCATCACGCGCAACCCAAGAATGTTTACAAAAAGAGGTTCCTCGCTTCATTTTCAGCGCACAATGGCCACCAAAATCTCGGGATACCATCCGTTGGACTATTGTGTCTAAAGTATTTAGAAAGCAAGGTTGGCACTAAAAAGTGTCGATCACCTCAAGCAAGCGCTTCACAGAGAATGGGCCAAAATACCGCAGAAAAAACATTCGGACAGCGTGACGTTTGAAGGCCATAATTCTTCCCAAAGGTGACCAATTCGAAAAGCCCACAGAAGCACCTTTGCCAACAATCTTACCTGTCTACTAAAAAGTACAACACTATATGTTATCAGTGTAGCCTCGTGAAGGAGAATTATTACATATCCGTAGTTACGATGATTCTGTGTTAATAAGCAAATATTGAAATTAATTCCATTATATGAATTTCTCGTACTGCGGTTGGATATTGGGATTAGTTGTTGCTATTGTTTGTATGTATATTGAGTGTTGCTTGAGTAATATTGTTGTTGTGTGTATTATTGGATAATTGGACCAGTTGGTAATTCTTGTGATGTCACCGTTGTTATCACTTTAAAAGGGCTCTTATTGAGAGCATTAACTCTTTAACAACAAATTTTGAAATCGTCTACGTTTTACATGGCTCCATATAACGACACTAAATAATTTTAGAAATTCCATTATATATAACTTGGTATCTGCGATAATTAAAATAATTCTAATTATAATTGGAACTGTTGCGTTCGGACAAATTTTCCAATATTTAAATTTCTTCTTGCGTAAGACCCTTTTAATTGTTTGTACTAATTCATCAATTGTTACTACTTTTTATTATATTGTGTGCCATGTCCCTGCAACAATCGACATCTCTACTCAAAAGTCTTGGGTATTTGCCCGCCCACTACGACTAAGACTCCCACTACATTTAAATGTTATTGCTTTCTGATGGAAAGCTCTTTAATATTCCTCAATTCTGTATTCGCTGATGAGAGAAGTGTCGGTGGTAATAATAGATGCGACGACGATAACTAAGATTGTAATGTTTTCATTTCGTTTTTATTTCTGTCTTTATTGTTGTAGCGCTTATTGTTTTTCTTCCGGTTGTTTTAACGTATTATGAAGTGCTTTTCGGTATATTTAATTACATTTGCGACTTGTCTTACAGTAACCATGAGTTCATGTGTTTCGAACAAATTTGTTATTTTGTTTGAGTCATTTGTGACTGGGTGGTCAAAATTTGTTTTGGCATATCTCCTAGACGATGGTCAAACGGAAAGTAACTTCGAC